GATGTAAGTTGTTTGTAATTTGTGAATACCGGTAATGCTCCACATCCTGGTCCCGTTTAAACAGTCAGAAACATTTCACACCTGTTTACTTAAATGAAAGGGCAGTAGAATGCGTCGGAAAGTCTACAGAGAACCAGATTTTTCATGGGAAATGCTCTCATTAAACATCAAATCCAATCAAATCAACTGTCAAAAAAACATCCTTTGGGCATTTTTCTCCCCAGCGTACGTGAAACCTTTTCTACTAACGTGCTCCCTGCCTTCATAAGTGTCCTCTGTAACACGCATTTTGGCTTTGGAAAAATCCAGCAGGCTTTGGCAGAGCTTAAAGGGCAATTAGCAGCATCATGAAGTAAACCAGCAGAGTCTCCTGTTTGACAAGAGAGGGATTAAATAGGTATTTTACCTACTGGTGGACGCACACAAAACCTCTAAGAATGTGCATCTTGTACTCTGCACCGTGGAGAGTGATGCATGCAACACGTACACATATGACACATCTCTCGTGTGTGTGTGTCTCTGTGTGTTATCTTTGCACGTATCTTTAAATGCCACAGTGTTTTACAGTGCCTCCAGGCAACAAGAAAATGCTACCATGAAGTGACCCCGGGACACCTCCACCTATTTGTTTGGATTATTCAGTAGCAGTGTGAGTCAAATTAGGTTTTAGTATTTGAATTGTCTCCTAATGTGTCCTGACACGAGTGGATAATTTAATTCACAGCGAAGCGAGGAGAGAAACAGCCCTCTGAAATATCCTGCACGGATTGAAGCGTCTCCTTTGTCAGCGTGGCGCTGTCTCCCTGGCTGAGAGGGTGCCTGAGTGATAATCCGAGGCTCATCTAATTAGATCTAATCGGGCCTGGTATAATGCGATCCATTAACGCTCGGTGATTGGATTTATTAGAATGGTAACAGATTACTTCTGAGTGGCGCACACCGCTTTAAAACAATTCAAACCCGGTGCCAATAATGACTTCTTTGATGCTGGAGTGAATGAAGACCGATGTGTGTTTCAAATGAGTGCCTGACACACACGTGATGACAAGTCCCTTTGCTTCTCTGGACCTGTGACATGGGTACGAATACGAACCTTACCCTAACCAGCATTCGTGTACATGCTGAGAATGGCTGAGGAATGTGGAAATGTATACATACGCTGACATTTAATCACATGCATCCCCTTGCCAAGGTTAGCCTATCAGCTGGTCAACACCTTATACTGCAATGTTGGCAGCATAAGGGTTTAATTCAGTTTTTACACTAATACACACAGAAAACTACCTTTTTTTCTCTGTATCAATGTGTTCTGCTTTTTCAGACTCTGAAGAGAGCTCAGTTCCTTATTTCACAGAGGTGAAAATTATTAAAAGTGATAAGTAAAAGCCCCGTATTTCAATTCACACCTCAGCGGGGAGTGAACTGTTTTCCCTCGGGCAGGCTTGTTTATTTGCACGTTTCTTAAAAATCTATTTATTCAGTGTCATGTATATGTGTTCATAAATGTCAAGGGAGACATTCTATGTTGCCCAAAAAGGAGATTGTAAAACACAAGTGGATGCGAAAAGACATTGCTGAACTCTTACCTCACTGAGCTTGTGTGGCTGGATGGAGCCAACCGCTCACCTCCGTAGCATTTGGATCTGTCTTGTAAATCTATGCAGACGTTATAGGTACACCCCAGAGCTGACGACTGGGTGACTCACAACTCCCAGAATACCACCAAGGTCCCAAATGTCATCTGCAAGTTAAGTGGGGCTCATCTTCGTTTTCTGGTTGGGCTCGGAGTTATGCGGAGATCCTAACAGCTGTTTTGAGGATTTGACGGTCTGTGTGGGTGTGTGTGGGTGTGTTGTGTAGATGGTATTGTATGGTCTGTGTGTGTGTGGGTGTGTTGTGTAGATGGTATTGTATGGTCTGTGTGTGTGTGGGTGTGTTGTGTAGATGGTATTGTATGGTCTGTGCAGCACCTGACAACTTACCCCTAACAGAACTTCAAAAGGTGCCGGAGCTGCCTGCGAAAGATGTGGAGTAGCAAAGTCAACGTGGCCCACTTAGTTGTGTGCAATCAGTTCAGCTGTTAGCGGTAAACTGAGATAGTGGACACTGTAAGACACAATAGTGACTTTATCATCATCAGGCTAAATGTAGGGCATTGCACTGTGGGATGCAACACAGCTACCCAGAGGGATTTTAGACAGAGAAGATTTGCAGTCTGTCTGGTACACCTGATGATTGCCAGACACTCACTTTCCTTGCATGTCATACTGCAGGAATGAGCAGAATATGAAATATTTTGAGAACCTGAAGAAGCAATTAATAGTATATGTATGTATTTATATTTTAAAATATACAAATGTACCTTTTTAGTACATAAAATATAGTTAAAAATATGATTTACAAGGTACAGATCAGATATGAAGATGCTGTAAGTTTTGATCAGATTCTATCTTGTTCTAAACTAAGGTAGAAAACAATTCAGTTTTCAGGAGCAGCTCTATCATATCATCTCACTCCTGGGAAAAAGTTTATCCCCTTGAAATAAAGTCTTTATATTGAGCAAGGTTTTTCTGTTGCACAAATCATGGATTAATACATTTAGAATATTTTAAAAAAAGTTATTTGAAAAAACTGCGCTGGTACTCAGGGATGAGAATCCAAAACCAGGCAGAAGGTCTTTGACATTTAGTTATTCTATGCAACCGCAGAATATTGTTTCAACAAGAATGACATGCCCTATCTATCTTATATGGGCTGAAACTACAAGGACTTATAAACACACATCACTCCTTTGCTACTTATAAGAGGTACCTCCCATAGGCCTGACAAATATACATGTTCCAACACAACGTTCACAAGTGGTGAAGCTGTCAGTGCAAATATATTGTACTCAATTAGCTAAAACAAAGAATGTTTTAGTGTGTTCTTGTTGGTGTCATCTGCACAAAACTGCATTTTCTTCACCATGTGCTCCATCTCCAGCCTTCTAAATTTTAGAGGTAAAAGAGAGGCAAAAAACTGAACATAGTGCTCAGTAGAAGACATTTCTATGCAAATAAGTTAACATAGAATAAACTGTTCTTAATCCAGTATTGTCAACAGTGACCACATCGTCTCGGTTCCCAAACACCCCCCAGTGGGTGGCACAGATAATGCATTATCTTTTACTGCCTTCTTCTGTTTCATTTTATTGCCTCGGGTCAGGGAGGGTGTTTGTGTCAAGTAACTGGTAAAGACATTCACCCTATGAGAAAACAAACAAAAACATGATGTATCTTTGCAATGTAGATTCACCATGGATGTATCTCCCCTCATACATGCAGATTCTACAGGTAACCACGCTCACAAGCCGCTTAAAAAGGGAGGAATTAGGGAACACGTCATACTTAAATACTCCACATTTAGCACGAATAACTACAGCTGTGTCAGTTGTGCTTTAAGTTTGCTTAACACATGCTCCACATGTGAGTGCAACCTGCTAAATGAACGTCCTCTTTAGAAAAAAAAGAGGCAATATGTGTTGCAACTACCGACACTGTTTGGGTGGCTGACATTTTAAGGGCGGCGTTCACGCGGGCATGGGTGTTGCAAAACTGGGTTTCTCACACTGCTTCCTCAGACAGACAGCAAAGCACAACCTCCCCTCTTCACATGTTTGCAGCAAGCCGAGCCCGACTGCACGTGTGACACCAGCAGACGCACAGGCACACAGGCAGCCTGTTTGCATGCTCTTGCAGTCTTTTTTTTTTCTTCTTCTTTTTGGCAGGCTGAGCGGGGGTCAGCATCAGCTCCGGCAGCAACTATAAACTCTCTGTGATCATAAGATACACTTGGCAAAACCTTCTCTCTCTGTAATGCACACTCCCTCAGGGACATTGTGTATCTGTAAAACGTGTGCGCGCCATATTCTGCATAGCATGAGAGTTCTGGTGTGTTGTGCGTGTGTTTTTGCATTTTTACACAAAGCACCGGGTTGTGTACTTGCTTGTGTGTGTTTTTTTTACTGTATATTCACGCACTTTGTGCGCGTGCAAACACAACCCTAACAGTCGTGGCCTTTACTTTTAAGGAGTATGCAGTGCACGTGGTGGTGTGTTTGCCCATTGGACATACGTTAGCATGTGTACTGTGTGTACAAAGGCGTGAGGAGTCACCCATTGGTACTCTGCCCTGATCCAAACGGATCAACAGCAATTGTTTTTCTGTACGTGCAATAACATGTCAAAAAGGTTGTGACTGATCACAGGGGAAGACTGATTGTCCATTGTTTGTCCTATAATTCCAGGTAAAACCTCTCGGTAGGATAAAGACACACCCACCCAGAGGAGCATTTGACACAAAAGTGAGAGCTTATGCACAGATGTGGTAAAGGAAGCTGACAGGATGTAAACCATTTAAATCATGTCTCCAGTGACTGGAACATTCCTTTATTAAAAGGAGAACCTTCAACACCACGACTTTACATTAGAGTAGCAAACACATGTAAAAACAAAAGGGGAAGAGGATCACTTGTTCATGTCCATGCCATCAAATATTGACACATCATTCTTGAAAAACTAGGAATTCAGAGCTAAAGTGAAACAAAGTGTCCCACATGTTCCTTTATTAAGTCAAGTCTTGTGCCTAGGATGTTTTAAGATCCTCAACAATGATCTTTTCTTGTACTAGAGTAAATATAAATTAAATATTGTTACATGTACATTAAAAACACCTATGGTTTTCACTAGTAAGAGTATTTTTTCTAAGTAAACAAAATCCCAATTTGTGACACTTTTTTCCATGAATAATAAAAATAAAAGTACATATATAAAATTAAAAGACCTAATGAAATAGGTGATGCAAAATGAAGTTATGCATATGAAGAATATACCCTACCTGGATATATAACATACCTGGAAATGTGTTCATTGGAAACAGATCAGCCACACGTTCTCCCACACTGGGCACCGAGAAGTTTGAGTGTAAAGCGGTGTGTGTGTACGGGTGTGTGTTGCAGCAGCACGTCTGATTGTATTTCCTGTCCAACAGCTGATACTGTAGCTGCTGTGACCAACTGCACCTGTCACTGTGCATCACCCCTCACACACACACACACACACACACACACACACACACACTCCCTCACTCACACACACTCCACAGATGCACGCTAATGCAAACGTGCAAGCTCAGTCTTAATGAATAACTTGGATGGCTGAACAGGCACAAAAAAGCTACTGTCTCATGGGCTTAGCTAAAAAAGGTTGGAGGTGCGCTGAAATGTGAATCACATTTCCTGCTCTCAGGGTTTTCCAGATTTTTTCCAGACGTGCAAACCGTGGTTTAATCTGTGGTTCTGCTCGGTCAACAATTTGTCAGCAATTTTTTTTAGGGGGTCTATTTTCTATTTATTTATTTTTCTACAGCACATTTGGCAATGTGACAAATTGCTGTACACTTTCCATTAGGGATCGTTGCTGACTGCCAATGCTAAGATGAAAATTGGAGCGGCGGTGGCTGGCATTGTAAAGGGAAAGTACTGCATCAGCTCACAGCAAAGACTTCCCTTTGCTCACATCAGGAGCCGTAAGGCCAATTTTGAATGCTTGAAATAAAAAAAAATGAAACACCAATGTCGAATAAAAACTGTGTATCAATTTGTCACTTTTTGAGAAACAGTTGGAGGTAATACACAGCAGATTTAAGCTGATATGTCTGCCTTCTCTCTCTGTTCGAAAGCCCCACTGCTGCGCTCGCACTCTAAAATATAAACACACACACGTTTATCAGCTCTGCACGAATTTCAGCACATCATTAAACAAGAGACATTTTAAACTTTGTTCTTTTACTTGTAGCCTATGAAAAATATATACAACAATGAGATGTCATGTATTTAGTAGAGGTAGAGATAGGATTATGCCTTCTTGCTTCTCAAACTAACTTACAAACTATCAGATCAGTTTGTTTCAGTATCACCTCATCACCTGAGATAGACACACGATCACAGATCAAAATAATATACTATGAGAGTACTCATCTATTACTGTGGGACAGTTCGTTCAGTCAGTTATCAAAAAGCGATTATTAGTAACAGTTTTTCTATTTCCACTTTTACCAAAACATCCAAATATATACATCAAGATGACAACAGTCCAAGTATTTTGTACATGACAGTAAAATATAGGAATTCAATGGGGTGTTTCAAGCTTTAAATTGCACAAATATTTAATCACAAATATACCATTCAGATGTTAAGAATTCTTTATATGATAATTTACAGAAGCAGACCGACAACGACACTTTCAGATGTATTTCTCTTAACAATAAAAATGGAAGGCACAAACATAAATAGAAATAAGAATCCAATGTGTCCACCCTAATCTAAACAGACTTTTCTTTTTGCGTTTGAATTCAGAAAAGGTCAACACAGAAATAACAAACTTCTGTTCAGAAAAAGCACATTGAGCGTTGCGCATACCTGCACACATCTTCAAACGTATTGAAAATATGTGTGAGATGATTGCCATGCTTTAACAGCGAGTGTAAAAGACAAAGTTATGTAAACAGCAGACCCAACTTCATGGAAATGATCTCCCAAGCTCTGTCCAACAGAACGCAGTGTTTACAGAGTTAAAGCAGACGGCATAAGAGGAACGTGTGGGTTCACGGTGAGGTTTGAGGTGACTTGAGGAAAAGTCTCTACATGTGTAGGATGAAGGAAAAGAAAATACGCTGAGAGAAAGAGCATGTCTGATAGTTGCTAGGTTGGACCTCAGATGTGTTCCTCAGACACAAATATACACCAGCAATCTGTTCTGAGGTTTATCAGAGCAACTTTTTAAACAGGCTAGCTGTTCTCGATAATCTTATCACATAAGAGTCTCAGAGGGGATCCACTGTTTCTAATAGGAACTTTAGCCTCGGGGCAAACAAAGTGCAGAGTACACAAAGTGCAGACAAATTTAGCTTTGTGGAGGTTTTGTTTGGATCTTTGTTTTTGCAAATGTGAATAAAAAGTTATTAATTATGCAAATAAGCTGCTGACTATCTGCTTCCCGCCCCCCGGCCTGTAACTGGTGTGTTTCTGAGGCTGAAAAGGTTGATTAATGACCACAGTCTGTCGTCCACTTTTATACAGTTTTCTTTCATTGTTCCTGACGCTTTAATTTGAAAGACTTCCAAACAGGATATAAAGTTAAATCAGCTCTTCTAACCGGCTTAAAGTGGTCACATTTAAAAATTAATGTGGTGAGAATCGATTCAGAATGGATCGGATTCACAATGTTAGATCAAATCAGTGGTCATCCAGACTTAACCAAAGATTGTTGCCGTCAAACTGAAGAATATATCTACAATAGGAACGCTTGAACTTTAAACAACGTTCAGTGAAACATGCACAACCGCTGTGTTATATAAAGAGCAACAGCTTCAGCGTTAGTGCTAAACTGCACTTTTAAAGCTAACAGTGAGCAAAGAAACAATCAAAACATTTTTAAGATTGGACATTTTGGAATGAACAAGCAGTCTAGACTTTTAATGCTGTAGTCTCCAGCTGTCAGCAAAACACTTTAAGTCACACTATATATTGTTTACTTCCAACTACATTCTTTTCTGATACCATGATGTGAAAAATGTGCGGAACAGCTTTATATTGCACGCTGTAGGATTTCTGAGACTGTTTTGTACACTTTTGTTGTGCTTTTGTTCAGTGCATCAGTTGCTGAAATTTCTAAAGGTTAAAGTCTGGCTCCTTTTACATAAATACAGCTGAATAGGGCCGACTTACATCAGCCTAAAATGAGGGTGGCCTTACTGTGACATTCTCTGCATTCTCTGCAGTGCATCCATGTAAAGTGATGCTTATCTTTTTTTTAACGTAAGGCTACACTATCTTTTGGGATTTACTGTTGAGAATTGTAATTAAATGATCCAGCTGAATAAAGGAACACAGACCACAAGTAGAAACCACATGGACGTTGTCATTTAACCAACAATCATAAAAAAAAAAGAAAAATCTACATTTCAACAAACAATATGCTTCAACAAATTGGCGTTTACTTCGCAAACATGCTTCCACGATTGATTCCACCAATATCCCAACCGGTCAAGCAATGGATGAAACGTTTTCCTTGCAGCTCCAACTGGTAGAGCTGCTGGCTTGCCAGTTGGTTAAGGTACCAGGAGCCACGTCCAACGCGTGCACAGAGCTGGGATTTGTTGGAGTTAGAGTCAGTGAGCTGTCTCTTATGGAGCTTTCCAAACTTCCCCTCCAAGCTGATGTTAGCTGGGTGTCGAGTTCTCGAGCGCCTCCCGGGTCTGAGTGCCCGTTCTGCCGGCGCGGGGGCTTGGAGTAACGTACCCTCTTGCTGCACCATCCCCACCCTCGCCCTCCCCCACAGCCCCGTCCCTTGCGCCTCAGATGGAGGATTTCCTGGAAGGCATGCCTGAAATCCGGGCTGCGGCAGTAGATGAGCGGGTTGAAGGCTGAGTTGGAATATCCCAGCCAGTTGAAGAATCCAAACGGCACCGACAGGTCGCCAACTCCGGGTAAGGGTTTGATGATGTTGAGGATGAAGAAGGGCAGCCAACACAACGTGAAGGTTCCCATGATGATCCCCAGAGTTTTCACAGCTTTTTGCTCCTTCAGACAGAACTTGAGACGCTTCGTGGCGGGATGCTTTCCTTCCCCTTTTTCTGTCCTCACCGCGTTATCTTTGCCACCGTCCGCGTCCCCCGGTCGCTGCATGTTTAGGCTGTCCTCTCCCGCTGGTTCTTCCGCCGCGGTCCCCGCCCTGAGTTTGTTCATGGAGGGGCTATCCTCGGGATAAGCGAGCTGCGCGGAGCAGTGCAGGTTGTAGAAGTGGCGCTCTCTCCGTCGGATCTTCTCCAGCTGTTTCTGAGCCTCCTGGAAAACGCGCCGGTACAAAAAGATCATCACCACCAGCGGCAGGTAGAAGGAGACGATGGAGGAGGACACGGCGTAGGCGGCGTTGGTGTTGAACTCGCAGCAGGTGTCGTTGTGGAGGCACTCGTGGGCGGCGCGGTCCTGAGACACCCACACGTTCAGATAGATGGGCAGGAAGGAGATGAGGGAGGCCACGGCCCAGACTCCCAGCACCACGGCAAAGGCCCGGCCCCTGGTCATCAGCAAGAGATGAGACAGTTCACACCAGTTAAGATTCACATTTACCCTGCTGGCCAATAAACTTGACATTTAACTCCTCTAGTAGTGGCTGCCAGATTGCTGACAAATCTATTTATCTTGTCTCCGAATTTTCTGTTTTCCACCTTCACGCAAACTTTCCATAAAAGTTGACAAAGCATGTTTGGTGGGACGTTAATGTAATATATTCGCCTGATCCAAACATTAAAGATAGGTGTTGTAGTAGATATAACATGTATCCATGCTCCAGAACTTTTAATGTTTTTAAGTTATTTGGCACTTATCGTTCTGATAAATAAAAGAGTGGTCTCTTGGATATGAAGATAAGTCAAATCTGCTTGGTCCAAAGAGAAACATGTTTTATTGGCACTATCACTGGGATTTCTCAGTTGCCCAGAAACATATAAACGTGTTGATGAGTCATCCTGCATTTGTGTGTGGAGGGTGGAGCGTTATCGGGCTGCTGACCTGTCCAATCAAAGCTAGCTGGGTGTTTTTCCAAGAATGTGGCAACGTTAATAAAAAACAAAATAAAGCACTTAATGTGCAGAGGCACTCCCAAAGTCATTTCACGGGAATGTTAATGCCAAGCACAGCGCTGATTTAATGTTAACAGATTTTAGTTCCCTAACAAGGAAGTAGTGAAAAGATTATGCCAGTTTACTCCATGCTGTGTTCCTCACCCATGAGATAGGTTGATTCCTACAGTATAACCCATTCAGTCTAATTTAGTCAGCTTTTAGCGTGAGGAACAAACAGCCTTTGGCTACTAGCCTCAAGCAGAACTGGTGGCATACAGTGGTCCTGTGAGCTCTTCTTTGTAACTCTACACCTCCAGATTCTTCTCATTTTTAAACTTGTATTCACCCCCCACTAACACAGACTCGGATGACTTTGCACAGTGACCTGCACAACCATAAGAGGCAGAAAGGAACCAACAGATCACCTAATCTTCTGAAACACTTCTGAAAGAAGAGAATAGATGCTGCTAAGTACCAGGGGAGCAATCGCGCCTTAAGGTGATTGCGCTCTTTACTAGAGCACTTTGAGACATTCACAGGGAAACAAACTTATGATAATTCAGAGGCATTAAAGAGCCACTTTGGCAGGAAGAAGACTATATCCATGCTGAGTTAAAAGGGCTAATCATTACCACTGCTCTGCTTAACCCATTTGGACCTGATGCGACGTACGAGTGCCCCCGCATCCATGAGCTGAGAGTGCCTCGGGTCTTTATGGGTTAATAGGTTCACATTTTCCAGCCAGTTGCACCTCTGGCCACACCCCAACATGTGCTGTCACAGCAGGCTTTGACTTGACAGTGGACCGAAAACACCTGAAGTGACCTCACCGGCTGGGATGCAGGGGGATGTGCGACAATGCTGGGAAGTCTGAAAACGCACAACAACTTAAAGCTGTGCTCATTTTTGTATTATCCTTTTATAGGCTACTCGATTATGTAAAACCTGAAAATGCTGCCTTTTGAATTCCCTTCAAGTGTCTTCGATTGACCGAAAAACTGGCCAATACCTGGTGAGGATGGTGGGGTAGCGCAGCGGCGAGGTGATGGCCAGGTAACGGTCCAGTGCAATCACACACAGCGTCTCGATGCTGGCCGTCACGCACAGCACGTCGGTGGCCGTCCAGAAATTACACACAAAGTTTCCAAACTTCCAGATGCCAAACAGGATGTTGCTGGCCCCAAAGGGGACGACAACCATCCCCATGATGAGGTCAGCGACTGCCAGCGAGGCGATGAAGAGGTTGGTGACGGTCTGGAGCCGCTGGAAGCGCAGGATGGCTGTGATGACCATCACATTACCTGGACAGGAGAAAGAAATTCATGCTGCACTGAGAGTGTAACACAACAACAGTTTTGCCTTCCTAACAAATCAGCCTTTGAATGCGATCAGCTGCTTCAACGCGTACCAAAAACTATGGCCAGGACCAGAATTGCCATGGCAACACCAAGCAGCACGAGTTCTGCATCGCTGTACGCTGACGGGGAGCCCGGAGCCACGCTGCAGTTCTGCGTTTGGTTGATCGTCGCTGACAAGGTGTCCTCCATGATCTAACGTCAAAACAACAGAACAGCACGTTTGGTATTGTGGATGAAGATGTCAAAGTCAAAAACAGCGCATTAATTCAACCGATTGATTGGTTTGTTTTTCCTTTAAAGACAACGATGGTATTTACAGTTTTCAGCTGTGCTACTTGGACATTACACAGACCGATGACGCAAGACTAATTTTCCCTTTAAACAGAGTCCCTCTGTTTTGGTGAGGATACACTTATAAATTGCAGGACTACTATTTCTTAAATAGAAGTTATGTTTAACTCACATATACCTCAATTAAACTCTCTTAGCTGAACGTTCACATCTCTTGGGTGTCTATTCTGGTGTTCTGTGGAAAGACTGTGCTTAGATTTAATCTTTTCATCACAACAGTCTCATTAATGCTCCCTTTCACCTGCTTTTTATCTGAAACTAGTCCCTGCTTAAACATTTCACATGATAACTATAAGAACAACATGTAAAAGGGCAAATGTGTTTAGAAGTGACTTTGGATCACCTGAATGATAAATAATGAAGGCAAAAGTATGAATTCGTTTCAGTGTTAGATGTAAATCTTAATTCTTACAATTTCTGAAGAAGAAAAAGATATAGAACAACATAAAATAAGCCATTTTATGTAGGTTTCCACAAAAGAAATGTGGATATGGAAGCAAATCATTGCTAAGTCTGTATTTTTCTAGTTTGATTGTCCTATAAAGCAGGCCACACACAAACCCATCTTTGCAGAAGTTCAGTGTGCATAAAGCTACCGTGAATGTTGAGAGAAAAGGCATCTAAAGCTATGGACTAAAATAATTCTACACATTTACAATGAAAACAAAGATTTTGTTTAAAAAACACATCTTTTCCATTAAACTTTTTATACCACAATTTCTAGTAGGATTTCAATGCAAATTATCTGCTGTATTAACTGGTTAGAGATTTGCATTAATGGAAACAGGAGGGGACAAAAACCAGTAATGGTTGTCTCTTTTTACACACTTTGTTAGAAACCACTGACATATTTGAAGCTTTTGGTAATGAGAGCCCTTACAGGGGAACTACTTCAGGTTCCAGGGAGACTCCTACAACATACTACTCCCAGATATGATTCAGTATGTTGTCTGCAGTGTGCAAAAGATACCACATGTTTATACTGTTTTTGTAAACCAACCCATAAATTCTCTCTAAAATGTTAAAATATGCCCCAGACTTGTGAGAGGCCACCATCCACTGACTGATATACGTCTGTGGGGTAGGTTACCCCTCTTTCTATCTGACAGGAGTGAACATATGTGCTCTTTCACAGAGGAAGTTATATATGCCTTGGTGTTATCATGAGTTCATCAGGTTCAGCTGTGTGCATGTCTTTGCATTTTTCTCCCCCTCCTGATAACCTGTGTGCACGAGCAGCATTCGGTCCTGATAGGGTATCATGCAGTTATATGTTTTTCATGTCCCGAGTATCTGTGTTATTGCTGTTTTCATTTTTGCTGGGTGCACGTTTGTTTTTTGTTTTTCTCCGGTGTAATCACTCCACTGAAGTGTGCAGCGACAGCACAGGTTGACGCTGGGGAGAAGCTGGGCTCAGGAAATGCTATGGCTACAGGGGCCTATGCATTATGCAATGTAAAGAGTAGTGCTGCAGCACTGCAGCAATCGGGCAGCTTAAGTAAATTGCCATAAAAAAGACCATTATCGCTGTGGTTAGACACACTCTGTGTGGACAGGCAGCGGAATACTGTGCATGTGTGTGTGTGTGTGTGTGTGTGTGTGAGTGTGTGTGTGTGTGAGTGTGGGTGTGGGTGTGTGTGTAAGTGTGCCACCACAAAGTTACATTTATGGCATTAGCGCATAAACAGAAACCTTTGATACCAAATTAAATGCTCTATTCGCTGAATGTATTTGTTTAAAACAACACGTTCACTTGTATTTACACATGGAAGGCTGCTGAAACACAGCAGCCTTCTCACAGAGATGGCCTAACTGACAGCAGACACATGGTGATCCGTGTTTTCTATTCCGACCGTCTTTGTCAACAGTCGGGGGATGGTTGATCCGGTAAAGTCAGCAAAGGTTTAAGTGAGATAAGCAAGTCATGGGGAGGTAGATGCTTTTCTGAGCTGCTCTAAATGCTCACTTCATATATTTTACTGTGTTTATTTTTGCTGGGCTTTTAAAGGATGTGTACGGTTAATGCGTTTCAGGCACATCCACACTCTGTTTGGTTAATTGGATCATCTGCATGCTTACACGCTCGTATGTAATTTGGCCTCATTCCGATAAAATCAAAACACTCTCGACACAATTTTAAAGTAAGCTCTAAGGAGGCACATTGATTCGCGAGTGTTTACCCAGCTCTCCAGTGGTCAATGAACAAATTGTTGAATTTTGGGATGCGTTTCAAAATGCCAGGGTGGACCACGACAAGTTTGTTGGTTCACGGCAATCGTCTCATAAGTGGAATAAATTGCTGTCTTTAAGAGTCAGAGTCCTCACAGTGCCATTACACTGTGGCTGCAAAGCCTCAGATATTCATCATGACTGTCACTTATTTAGTCTGGAGCTCTTAACAGTAACTTTATGCGGAAAACATGCTGCTGTTATTTGGAAAAATGTTCCCAATTAACATTTGCATTTTCAAGCGTTTCCTGTGAAAAATGATGGATTGCCGACTGTGGACCTATTTGAAAATCAATCTTTCATTACCTATGCTCATGTGGCCGTTTGTGAAATACTGCATGGAACAACACTGCACACAAGATCAATCCAGCTGTGTAATTGATTTAGTCTTCATCACTCCCACATTTCGCAGAGGCCGGTGTTTATCGGGTCATAAAAGTGTGAGGCTGACCCCTCCACTGTCCTACTCCGATGAAACTTGCACTGTTTTTGAGGATTTGCGACGTCTCTGTGCCCTCAATAATCAGATCAATAACAAATTTCAGCACTTACACACATTAATTCTGCCTGCTACAGACTCCGATCCAGCCCCTGCCTCAGATCTTCAGACAGACAGACACAAAGACCCCCGACACACTGACTGAGGGCAGTTATTGAACACAAATGATTTACTCTGACATAAAAATTCCAATATTAACCAAGACGTGTCACGGTGAAGGCGATTACAGTTAGACTGTGCACTTAGTCAGCGAGTGCCCCTGAACAGGACACGAGGGCACGAGTTTGTAGAAAACACAGAAGCACACGACAACCCGGTTGTGCCATGCTTAATGACATAAACAGATGACAGCGTACCAAAGCGTGAAGGCACAAATGCTCCAATAACATGATGTGAAACATTATGCCATGCAAATAACAGAAACCAAATACCACAAAGAAGGAAGCAAGTTTGAGTCTGCTAAAAAAAATGACTTGTTTGCAAAATGATGGTGAGAAATTAAGCCAGGAGAGTCAGTAATTCAACAGATTTAAAGATACAGTGAATAAGGAGTGTGTGAATACTCAATTTACAGCTGAGTAAGGTTTTTGCTTTCTTAATAAAACAATGGCTATCTTAAAGTGTTTTTGAAATCATGTTGTTTTTTCTGTCTGTGTGAATGCATCCCAGAGGGCACAATGTGTGAGTGAAGCACCGGTCTGTAAAGCAGAGTTGCAACGTTAAGTTTTCTTACCTCCTGGCTTTGTTTTGTGCTTCAGTCCAGTGGCTTCATTTCCCTTGTACAATTAAGTCCACAACATCATTAAATTGTGTCCGTCCTCAGCCTTTTTTTTTCTCTTTAGCTGTGGTATAATTTACTGTTTTTGTGTGCGACACACACGCTCTGTCTCACATTTCCTCTTTGTTCTCAGCCATGTATGAGCGCACTCTTTCAGCCCTCAACTGCACTTTGAAGAAGCTGGAAGCTGTGCCTGTTGCCCTTTTTATAAGCAAGCCCTGATGACATCACAGCAGGACAGTAGCCTATCAGAGGACGAGGCTCTGCTTTTAGTGTATATCAAATGTCTGCAGTGAAGTGACAGCTGAACAGCACCTAGAGCCCTTTGAGCTTTTAGAAAATAATAGTTTAAAAAAATTATGTGTAACCCTAATTCGTAACAGCACCAGCTCAGACCACAGTCACACTGAGCAGCAGCAACACAAAACCACAAACAACTTCTTCTTGTTCTTATTGCTGACTGTTCTTTACTGGTTCTGCAAATGGTCTAAACTTAACATGCTCTGTCTCTCTTTATTTCTTTATGCATACATCTGGTTATTATTTTAAACAATAATCAGAGTTTAAATTGAATTACCTTTGGTGTATTTTATATTGTTGTTGTCATCTATGTAAAAGCTATTTTAAAGCTAAGTCGCATTTTGTAATTGACTTCCTAACATTCACAGGATATATATATATATATATATATATATATACATACATAAAACTTCAGTCTAAAGTCTTAATTAAGCACGCATAATTAGATTGAAACATAGAAACTCAATATACGATTAATAACTGAATTAAAACAATCACCAACACATTTCTGCTGATACTGAAGCAATGATGTCACACAACTTAAATAACCTTAAATAGGGGACTGTTAGGGGTGAAATTTCATACATGCAAAGCGAGAACATTCAAACTGTACCAGTAGCTATAATCAAGATCCAAATGAGGAAGCTGAAAGTTAATCAGTGAATCAGCTGAGTCATCAACACGGTAAAATTATGTATGTATGTATGTATGTATGTATGTATGTATGTATGTATGTATGTATGTATGTATGTATGTATGTATGTATGTATGTATGTATGTATGTATATGTAGCAAAAACATTTAGCAGGAAGGAGTTTGTTAAAACTTGACTTTAATAACAGAAACAGCAAAGAGCGTGGTCAAGCTGAAGTAAAAAACAAAACAACATATAATAGAGTAACTAAAGGAAAAGACTAAAAGATAACCAGCTAGGGACACAGAGACAAACAAGGAAAAGAAACCCAGCTACAAGAACAAGAGAACGTTCAACTAAGAAATACACTAGAAACTCAACGTAAAGCACAGCTAGCAAAT